GAGGAGAAGCAGTGGTTTCTTTAACCTTCACCTCGCTGGGATCAGCGTGTGCTGATCCTTCTGAAAGAAACGATTCATGCAGCTGTCTTCATTCATGAAGCTGACTGTCATTACATTATGATGGTCATAATATTGACTATCAATTATCACTATGACTATCATAGCATCAGTTGACTTCTTTGTTGGACATTGTGCTAGGCATTTCTAGTCACACATCCACTCTGCACAAGAATTGTACAGAATAGTATTATTATTCCTACTCTATAGATGAAGAAACTTGGATTTAGAGTACTTAGTACTCAAGTCTTTAGAAATGCTTAATATTAAAACCAGAACTTGAATCTTTGACTCCAAAGAACTTTATATTTAAGTACTTAAATGTTTATATTATCTTACTTTGACTCCAAAGTACTTTATATTTAAGTACTTACATTTTTATATTATCTTACTTATACTTAACTCCCTTACAAGTCCTTCAAGGCTCAATTAATACTTGCTGGACTGTCAATGAAAAAGCAAGCATTTATATTCCACTTGAAAGACATTCTTTTTTGTCTGTCCTTCATGATTAGGAGTCCTGATGCCATATCAGGTAAGCACCCGGCTGCTAACTGAAAAGTAGGCAGTTCAAGCCACCAGTCATAGCGCAAGTTGAAGAGGAGGCTGCCTGCTCCTGTAAAGACTTAGAAAGTCTCAGAAACCCTTTATATGGTCACCATGAATCAGAATCAGCTCTTGATGGCACAGGTACTTCATGATAATTTTTTTCTATTTTTAATGCAAACAGTACAAAAAAAGAAAAATAATAGAACTGCCTGATGTGAACTCTGAAGATAGTGCTAGTTCCCTAGAGCAACAGAATTAAATAATAAACCTATGTACCTTTATTTAAATACAAGGGGAGTCCATGAAAAATTTCATTATCTGTTCTTTTTTTTTTCACTTTTAATTGTAAATTAGATGAAAATTTACTGAGTAGATCCCCAGTTTTACATTCATTCAATAAGTCAGAAACATTTTGTTTAAACTCACCCCTGGTAATCCTCTCAATGTATCATGCACTTATCTACTCCTCCTCTGTCTCCTTTCCTCCTCCTCCTCCTCCTCCTCAACCCTCTGTACCGTCCTTGTGTAAATGCTGCCTGTTGATCTTAAATGACTGATTCACCAAATATGCGTGTGAGTTCAGCTCCAGACCTGAAGGTGACTAAGGGCCATAGACCTGAGGGTTCTACCAGTCTCTAGTCAACCACTAAACCTAGTTGCTTTTATGATTTTGAGTTTGGTTTTACATTTTTCGCCCACTCTATCCAGGACCTTCTAATGAGATCTTTTCTAGAACCGATGGTATTCTTCCTTACGAAGCATGAAGAAAAATTACTGAGGAGCTAGTAGCTTGCAGTGTTAAAATAAAGTGGATATCTATGGTTCTGTAAAAGTTGGAGCTTGTTAATCAGCTGAGTAAATAAGCAGGGTTTATCCAGGATTGACTTCTTTATATGTATTCAAAAAGTATCCCAATCCAAAAACGGTGTCCATAAAATAATTTGCCATGTGAATAACATTTCTGACTTGAAAGCTGTTTTTAGTTAGAAATGAAAAATGCCAATTAAACAAAAGCTCAAAGGATATTTTGTTTTGCAGGTAAGAAACATCAGTTAATTCTTTCCAGCAACTGTGAGGTTACATTTCATTCAATAGGAGTCCCTAAATGCAATTTTCTCATTTCTCTCCGAATATATGTTGTTTCACATTTTAAAAATGTATAAACTTGATATGTGTGAGCAAAGTAATGTACTGTTAATATGTCTTAAATATTTTATCTGAACCATAATGTGGTCCAAAAATGTAATTTAAGTGATGATGACAGAATCTGATGACATTCATTCGTTATTTGACTCCCTAATGGCCAAATAAATCTCTAAATCTGCCTTCCAATAACAATATTTGACAGAATGCAAAAGAAACTTTCTACTTTCAAGACTATTATTCAACTCGGAGATCTCAGCAACTCCTACAATTTTGTCTGATATGTTTTTCTATAGATGAAATCCAAGATAGGTAAATCTATCAAGACAGGAGCTGGATTAATAGTTCCTTAAGGGTACACCAGGGGACGTTGGGGAAATGGAGAGCTAATAATAATGAGTACAATAAAGAAGAAGATGTTCTAAAATTAATTGTGGGGATGATTACACAACTCTTTTTAAAATGTGATTGAACTATGGAATTGTATGATGTGAATGATATGTCAATGAAACTGCTAAAAATGATTTATGAGTAAATCTATGAGTAGATAAACACGCATGCTAAATGTGCATAGGAAGGAGAATGGTAGTCCACCTACTACACGCATGCACACCACATTGTGCTGTCTTAATAGTCTCTCCTTGAACGCTAGGTTCTAATATTCGTTGTCATGGCTTCATAGGACTCACTGACAAAATTCATTACTAAAGGGCTGGTTAGGGAACAAGTTGCAAAGCCAGTTAGAAATGCCCAGGAGAGTTATTTATTAGGACACGGCACAAAGTTCGTTCAGGTCTGCTACGAAACGTCCAACGGAGCATAGCACTCTCCGGGAAGCCACAACCTAAAGATTCCGCTCAAGCTGCACAGGGAGCTCTCTTTTTCTGTTCAACTACCAAACCCAGCGCCCTGAATTAAGTGCCCAGGGGCACCCCACTCCAGTAAGCCTTAGCCCAAAGGCACTCAGCTACACTTCCATGGGTCAGCCAGTCCCGCTTCCCCAATTAAGTTCCCAGAGGCAGCCCACTCCACAAGCCAGTCTCCTGCACAAAATCACTCAGCTTTACTTGCTCTGTGGTTTGGGAAGTCCGTCATTCTGTCCCATGCTCTGGCTCTGGTTTTGTTTCTGCTCCTCTGATGATGTAGCTGTCTTCTGGATCCAGGGGGTTCACTGAACAAGGGGGCCCAGAGGATGCACTCTGATCCTGGTCTCACTAGTAATGAGATCCCCCCTCCTGCTCCACAGATGGCTCATTTTATATACAGCAAGATGTCATTCCAGGGAATACAGTTCACAATTACTTATAAGTATCAGTATCTTCTCCCATTTTTTTACAAGACCCATGAAGGAAAAACTTGTCTGGTGGGAGTTGGAGATTTTGGTTAGATGTGCCACATTAAATAATTCACTGCCCTCCATACACAATTAGATATTTGGGAAAGGGTATTTGTACTTGGGTATTCACCTTTGCTGCAAATATATCCATGAATGTGGTTGAGCATTTAGGGGTCAAAGTAATAAAAATGTTACTGGGGAGGGGATGGGGACAGCTCAGGAGCATAGTCCCTGGGGGACACCAACATCAATTAGCACCGTCCACAAAAACCATGTTCCACATTGTCCTTCGGTGAATAGTGATAACGATCTTAAAAGCTCTTGAACAACAAACTCAGGTGTAACTATTGTTCTCTCTCTATCTGGAGGAACGTGAGTGATGGAAATTGAAGATACATGAAGCAATGGACTAAGAGGCCACGAATAGGGTCAGTCTCCACATCCCTGAGGCCAGAAGAACTAGATGGTACCCAGCTACCACTACAAACTGCTCTCAAGCAGATCACACGAGAAGATTCTGGTGGAAATGTGGAACAAAACTCAAAATCATGAAAAAAAAAGAACAGGATTACTGGTCATAGAGAGACTGGTGGAACCCTAAGGCTATGGCCTATGGCCCTGAGTCCCCCTTAAAGTCTGGACCTGAACTCAGCCTCATGGTTCAATTTTCAGCCAAACAACAGACAAGTCCATCATGGGAAATTTACACTCGGAATGTACACACACCTATGAATAACCAGCCACTGGAGATTAAAAGGACAGGTTTACCCAAGGACACAGTTCAGAAGGGTTAGGAAAAGAGGAACAAAAATAGGAAGCACAAGTAAGAAGTGATGCTACATTGAAGGAGTTGCAATCAATGACATGAAACAATGTGTGTGGATTGCTGAATGTAAAATTGATGATCTGCTCTGTAAATCTTCACCCAGTTCACAATAAAACGTTTTCAAAAAGTGAACATTTTCTGTGGCTCTATCCCAGGGAGCTGCCAATGGTAAGAAAAAGGAGTAAACGGGAGAAGTCATCAGAGGTTTATGAAAACTACTATCCAGCTCTGAACCCCCTGCCATCTGCTGTGGCTCACGGCAGCCCTGCCTAGAGTTTCTGAGGCTGTGAACCTTGCTGGCAGCAGAGAGCCCCCATTTTCCCCTGAGGAGCACCCGGGGTTTCGAACCAATTTAGTGGTGAACAGTTGAACACTTACCCTACAGCACCACTGGGCTCCTAGTGAACGAGCTTCAGCATGCATCAACGTAAACATTCTGTATGCTCCCCACAATCCTCCTCTAGTTCTTAAACGCTTCCTAACCCCAACTACCACGACCCCAATTCTGCCTTGCAGATCTGGCTAGACCAGATGATGCACAGCAGTACAGATGGGAATTGGAAACGCAGGGAATCTAGGACAGATGAACCTCTCAGGACCAGGGGTGACAGTGGCGAT